AGAGCTGTGCCTCTCTTCGTTATTTCTATCACAACTTCTTTACCAACAGGGATTTGGGTCCGAGATGAGGATTGTGGGGCCGATAGGATTGGTATAGAAGTTTTCCGGTACCAATTCCACATGATGGCAACATGCAATGATATACTGCACAAGTTTTACGTCCTTCGACAAGCAGCATGTAGTCTCTGGTCTTTATTTATCTGCCGGTCAAGCGAGGATAGGATATTATAAGGGATATCCTCGTTATAATAAAACCCTTAACAGGTTATTACTGACATCGCCTATAAAACGCGGATAAGAGAAAGGCGAAACAAAGGACCAACATGGTGTGGTGGTGAACACGTTAGCCCCTGGAAAGCGTAATAACACGTTCTGTCCTCAACACAGACACTAGCGGTCCAGAGTTTTGCAAATATCTCAGCTACATAATGCTTATATTTCACATAATATCCTGCCACTAAAAATTAGTGCGTAGTAAATAAAAATTGACGATATTGTGATTTATGCCATAGCTTCAGCTTAACAGGGTCCGTGCCGATTTTTGCTCTCCGGATCAATCCCGCCTACGGGTGAGTGATTGGTGATGGCACTGATCGATAGAACTAGCCGAGAGACAGGCGAAACGAAGGAATCGTATGGTGTGATGGTGAACGCATTACTCCCTGGAAGAGGTAATAACGTGTTCGGTCCCCACCGCAGACCCCAGCGGTCCGGAGTTTTGCATATATCTCAGCTACATTATGGTTATAAAGTTTTCAATTGCTCCATTATTAATTAGTGGAGAAACTACCGTTTCCTCCAAGTTTTTTTATATTTGAAAACCACCTTCGTCGCCTAAGGCTTGATGAGTCTACCAAATTCTTCGGTATTTCCCTTAGCATAAAAAACGTTAAAGTGCCAAGGCTGAGGTATTATTGGCATAGAGGTGCTGCTTATACACGCAATTCCCTATGTCTAAGTTTTGTTAAGAGACAGAACTGTCGAGTCTCCTTTATTTGTCGAATAATGCGCGATATATTGGAAGAGAGAGGCTACACAAGATCAGGCCAGTCGTAGAACTTATCAACAGAAAATGCATAAAAGTTTACGGGGCTGGTAAAAACCTCTGTATCGACGGGCCTCCCATGCCCCTTACTATTGGAAAAAGACATTCTGCCAATCCATCCCACATGAGATGCAAGTACGATGTCGAAGATCTGTTGTGAGAGTGTAGAAATAGTGCGAAATTGAAGGAACAAGTGTGTTAAATTTAACTTCTCGTTCCATTGATTCTCGAGTGAATCAAGCCGGCTCCATTAAATCTTCCATTATTCCCTATCGTGTTCCAAAATAGTCCAATGAGTTCTACTCGCTCTAGGGACTTAACGAACATCATATTCTCTTCCCAGAGTTGTCGTGAAGAACTGGCCATCGGATTCATCGTCTTCCTGCAGTATGTTTGACATTCGGAAGGATCCAGTCACTAACGGCTCTTGTCCATCGGCCGTCGTCCATACGCATTACGTGTCCGCCCACCTTATTTTCCACAGTTTCGTGTACAGAACGGCGTCCTTCGTTTTCAATGGAATCATAGTAATCATAGGATAAGAAAATAATGAGCGCTTTCCATTTTAAACCAGAATATTTCAGCTTATAGTTAGATTCATTAATTGCAATAAAAACCAAAAGAATCAATATATTTTAACATGATCAAATTGCAATTTCCTGAATCTAGCAAAACATAACCCTTCTCCGAAACACTTCATCGAAGCTCGTATTTCGAAGGAGCGCTTCAATTCGTCCTCGTCATAACTTGATGTAGGTGCGTAAACGACCAAGATTGTCAAAGCCGGTATTGATCCACATCTCTTCAATCGTAAACGTACAATTCGGGTTGTCAGTTGTTCGAATGAACCAATGTTCATGGACGAACTCGTGTTGACGAGAACGCCGATGCCGCCGACTCCTTTACGATCGCATGTTCTGAGGAACAATTCTTTTCCCGTATCATAGGATGCGTTGAATGTGTGGTGCCTTCTAGTCGTCAGCCAATCTAATGGCGACATACCTTATCCTTCTTCCCTTCATGATCGAGTCCTATAACGAGGACTCAGATACCAGTGTGAGTACACTGTGGGTAAAGATCGTCACCCTAGTCATTCAAGATTTAGGGAGCCTAGAATGACCCCGATTATAGCAGCTTTCTCGCACTCGTTCTAACACTGCCGCAACATGGGCTCTATCGGAGTCAGGGGAATAACAGCCATATATTTTACTGTGCTTAGCGTTTGATACCTACGTATAACTCGTCAAGCTCGGAACGTAGGAGTGAATACAGTCACGGGTAGTTCGCCGGTGTTTTCTAATGCAGACGAAGAGTTCATTTATTGGACGTAACTCCTAACCGCATCCCACATACTTCCCTGTCAATCCATTGGATGCTTTTGGCCGACTTGGTTCGTAGAACACAATCCAGATAAACCAGAGCACACCCGCGCACCCATTAGTACGTCCTCGTAAGAAGCGAAAATGCTATGCTGGCTCTCGGGACAAATTAGATGGACGTTATGGTGCCAAATCTGCTAGAGTGCTAACTAAATAATGATTAGACGTAGCCAATGCAACAAATATTTGTATTCGGATCGTCTTATTAATCACCACGTCAATTGTAAACATTGAATACTATAAAATTTTTTTGAAGATTGTGAAATCGAGCATCCTTTCGTAGACGTACGCCACAACAACTGTTGGACTGGCTACCGACTGGACATAAAAAGTGTAGCTAAAATCTTTGCGCGGCAAAATAAACTAACGAGAAGATTATTCGTATATAACTGATAGCACGTTTGTACTGAAACGCATAAGCTGTATGGGCCTCATGTTGTCGCCAATCCGTTAACGGATAATACCCCAATCTAGGTGTTATCCAAGTAGGAATACGTCCAGTTTTGGGTCTGTTGCAAACTTGCTAAACTTATCCTATATTCAAAGATAAGGCTGTTGGCAAAAGCTTGCTTCCGACCACCAGCATCCCCGATGAGTTCGTGCACTCCGTTGAATTGTGTTTGTCAGCCATCACAATAACGTCTACTTTATTTTTCTATTTCAACATCATCACACCTCTTTTATTCCTTGGAGCATTCGATTAACTTTCTGCCAGGAAAAGAAACCTTGAATAGTTCTAACAGTTCTGCGTTATTCTTCTTGTGCCAGAGAGACTGGTTCTATTTCATTCAAACACATGTCCACAATTACGGAGTGAAGGATGATAGTCACCGATAACAGAGACAGTTTGTCGATAACTAGAGAACTTTAGTAGCTGAAGACCTTCTCATAAAAAGAATACTCATAGAACGACCCGTGTGTTATTGTGCTGCCTTGCCGATGGCAACGTTAAGTAGACAACCAACTGCGAGAAACGCAAAGCAAAGGCCTCTGTGGTGCAATGTGTAATATGCGAGCCTCCGGAAAGGGTAACTGTGGTTCGATCTGGCCCGCGACGCAACTTTTGCGAATATCTCAGCATCGCTGTTGCAACATTTCACATCATACCCTGCCCTGAAAAATTATATCAGGCAGCAAATAGAAGGTTAGCATTGTGTTAGTAACGTTACCACGTGCTGATTGTAACCATATATCCGCTCTCTTCCTCCTGCGTTTAACATTGTTATTTTACCGCACCATCACCGTCCTTCGGTTGTTTGCTTTATCTGTGTTTCATCCATCACGACGTTGATGTAACTGATGTGACAGCTTTCTTAACATTGCAGCCATTCTTCGCACTTATAATACAACACGAAATTCGAATTCAAAGATTGAACTTGAACTGAACTAGCTCCAGACACGCCAGTGCGTGAACTCAACGTCACCCACCTACGATGCAACACAAAGAAGCCAATGATGCGGAAGATCATGAAAATCTGCTACGCCTCGTTGACTTGCAACGACCTAATGGCGGCTTACTACCTGTATTACAGCGAGAAAGGAATCAACGAAGTCACGATACAAAAAATTTTGAGTTATACTCACTCCATGACCGTCCTGGTATCAAACTAGTCGCATGGTGGCAACCCTCCGCTTGATCCACAAGAGCGGCGACTGCCTGTGGTGGTGACGATCTGGGCAGACTTTGGCCCAGGTGACCTCGGGACTCCAAGGAAACATAGTGGATAAACCAGCAAAACTCCAAAAAAGTGGAGATTATGCTAGGGCCCGCACAACCAGTGAAGACGGTACATTCAAGCATTCAAGTATCTTCACTCTGGTAGTGTTTCTCTGCCATCGTCTCATCATGTCCTGGAAGAAACAAATCATCTGCCAAGGAAATGTGTTGGGTGCTACACTGGGCCAACGAATCACCACATCAGGTATGACGGTAGCTCTCCCGTGCCAACCCTTGGTACCACGTTCTGTATTCGGTAAGCTACCGAGTGAATGCAGCGAAATTTGACAAGGAAAAAACTCTGAAGCAACGCACTGAAAAGCAACTGCATGGGGAACGACGCGACTCGTGTGGTCCCCATGTGAGAGGAAAAAGTGCAACCCACAGCGATAAGTAGCTCAACAACCATTCGAACTTGCCGCCCGTTGAGGAGACTAGTGTCGGTCCCAGCACGATCGCGGCCGCAGCGCACGCGCGTCTCGGAGAAGCGTGCGTTCTTTAGTTGCGTGCTGGGCTGCGTGGCGGTTACCGGTGGTTCTCTGCAAGGTGGGCGTTTTAATTATTCATGGGTTGGATCTCTGTTATAACTCCGTGGTGTGTTCAGGACTGTCTAGGTAGTGCTGCCTCCATGTACTGTACCTTAGTTTAGACCGTTTAGCCATGGCTGCTCGCTGTCCTAGGATAGGCATACATCTAGGTGTTCATCCTACACGAGGTACTAATTCCGTCAATGAATTTAGGTAGTCGATCTGGTAGTGATTATTCATCATTACTGTACGTACCTAGCCAGCTAAGTAAGCTAAGCTAGTTGAATCGTGTCGATTAAGAAGTAACTCTAGGAGTTGTTAAGACTGACGCTATGGCTGACGAAGGACATGTAAGGTTTATTTGAGTTTTAATTTATTATTTTTCTCGTGGATGCGTCCGGGGCTGTAGGGTAAGTTTGGTAGGAGATCGTTTAAAGTCACACAAGAATGACAAGCTTTTTAGAATGGCAATGCTGCTGGAGATGCCGAGCCGGAGAACTTCCGCAAGATCTTTGTTGGTGGACTCACCGGCAATACGACGGACGAAGTCATGCGAGAGTTTTATTCGCAGTTTGGAGAGTTGACTGATATAATCGTGATGCGTGACCCGAACACCAAACGCTCAAGAGGATTCGGATTTGTTACTTTCGCTACTAAAGCAAATGTTGGTTCGGTTGCATAGATTTTTACTTCCTATTTTTTCCGCAGACAATGGATTTCTAACTAAGGTGGATGCTGCGATGGCCGCTCGCCCTCACGTGATCGATGGGAAAACTGTGGATCCGAAACGAGCTGTACCGAGAGACGATAAGAACAGAAATGAATCGAATGTATCCACGAAGCGCCTCTACGTTAGTGGTGTCCGTGAGGACCATACAGAAGAGATGTTTTCCGAATATTTCGGCAAATTCGGCAATGTAGTAAAGGTATGAACATTTCATTGGTTTTAGTAGGTAACGTAATCAATGAATGTGTCGTTTTCTTGCTCAGCAATCGCGAGGTTTCTGAACAGCTCTGAAGGCTCTGAAGAAGGCGATACTGCCGAAACGTCAGCTAGCGTTGTATTGTATTGTGTTTTCTTTATGGAAGTAAATGTATGCTGTTTAAAAACCTCGCGATTGCTGAGCAAGAAAACGACGTAATCAATGAGTTCTTCGATTTAGTCCGAAATAATTCTTGACAAAGTCACCAACAAACCGCGAGGTTTCGGCTTTGTTACGTTTGACGACTACGACCCTGTCGATCAGTGCGTTCTTCTTCGCAGTCATATGATCAATGGCTTTCGGTGCGACGTCAAGAAAGGACTCTCGAAAGATGAGATGAACAAAGTAGGCATTTCTATGGATTCTTAACAGGTTTTTAAACGCAAACATGAAATTATTCGTTTAGGCACAAAGCAATCGAGATCGTATTGATCGCTTAGGTCGTTCACGTGGAGATGTACGTGGTGGACACGGCGGGCCAGGAGCTGGTTGGGGAAGTCAACAAGGCGGAGCAGGTCGTGGAGGTTGGGGACAGCAGGGTGGTTATGGTAAAATAGCTGCTTTTGTTGCTTTTTCTTCGGTTTTTATTATGTGGACTGGATATCTTTGTTACAACTTCATCCTCGTTTCACTCAGGTTATGGTGGCCCACAAGGCGGCGGATACGGACAGCAAGGCGGATATGGAGGATATGGAGCGCAGCAAGGCTGGGGTGATCAAGCAGGATGGGGACAGCAGTCGAGCGGAGGTTGGGGTGGCCAAAGTGGCGGTTGGGGTCAGCAGTCAGGAGGATGGGGAGCTGGTCAACCGTCTGGGCAACAGCAGTGGGCTAATGCTCAAGGTGGCGGCAGATACTAATCTGATCTCTTTTGACAGCGTTATGTTTTGTACGTGTTGTGCTATTACACAGTGCTGAGTGATCTGTTTTGTTACCTTTTTTTGTTTTGTCTTCATAACACTGCGAAAGCTGTATTCCGCGCAAATTTCTCTCGTCATCCTATGTATAGCTCCGATAAATTATTTCGTAATATCCTCATTATTAATTTCCTGAGGCTTAGCCACCCCTGTTTGAAGGAGTTTCATCATAATTGTGTTTTAGTGGAATTAATTATTAAAGTTGGGCTGAATAAAATTACAATGGTAGCATGTTTCCTTCCGATTTGTGTGCAACTTAGTAAGCGTTGTACGTAGTCCTATAACAGATAGTGGGATTCGATGCTGAACCATTAAAGAAGGGGATCTGTTTCAGGTATTTAATGAATGAGGTGTTCGGCTTAATAGCAGCTGGAAGGGCGGTGAGTATAGGTAGTTGAACTGAGTTGAGGGCAGGTTTGGCCATACGTATGAGAGGGTCTTCAGTGATATTTGAATTACGTGGGTCATGTTCTGTCGTAGTGAAGCAATATGATAGTTAAGCATTAAGTTCAATCGTATATCGATAAGGTGCGTTTTGTAGCCATCCCATTTCGTGCAAGTTGGTGAGAGGGAGTTCTTGTGTGAGATCGAGAATGCGTCCGGTGTCAACCACGTGGTTGTCTTCATGACAGGATTGCACCCTTTTCCTGATGGGCTGGGTGGCTCAGGTAAGGAGATGTTCAGAGTGGATTATGTTGTATTGTATCTTCTTGGTTTCTTTTCATTAGCGATCATGCTGAAATCATGTGAGTTAGTTTTGTCTGAGCTGTAAGTATTCCAGTGTACGTTCGATGGCCGTCAGCTGAGGTACAGGATACCGGATGGAATTATCTGGGTTTCATATCCAATGTGAAGCCTAGCGTGATCTTCAAAATAGCACAGGGGAGTTTTTATCCTGTTAATTACCGTATCGTTCATCGTCCAAATCACCAGGCCTACAATGACACTTTTTATGGGCTATATATATTAACTTTTTATTTGTTGCCTACTACAATTTTTAACGGCAAGGTATTATGTGGAGCATAACCACAATAATGCTCGGATATTTGGAAAACTCCGGGCCGCAGGTGGCTGCTGTGGGAGCCGAGCCCCCTGTTACCATTTCCGGGAGCTGACGCGTTCACTACATTCGAGTCTTTTGTCTCGCCTTTCCCTCAACTGATTCCTTAGATATTTACTTGCTACCTGTTTTGTATTCCGACATCACCAGAAGTGTAACCACCGTATACGAGAAGTACGAGAATGTGGCTGTTTATACATATCTTGATACCATGAGTTGGACTTGTACTTGGATTTCCCGTCCCAACGGTTGTCTAGGCCCCAGCATATCCTCCATTTTTCGAAGTTTTGCTTGTTTATCCATTCTTCTTCCCTGGAGTCTGAAGGTCAGCCTGGCCAAAGTCTGCCCCAAGTCGTCACCACCGCAGGCCGTCGCGGTCCTTGTGGATCGGAAGGAGATTTGCCACCATGCAACTGGTTTGGTACCAGGACGGTGGTGGATCCTAGTATCGGTTTACTCTTAGCTAGGCTTCCTGATGGAAGCGCCAGACTCTTCAGCTTGCCAAGGGGATGAATGCCCCTGATGTACATTGCAGCCCGACACCCAGGAACACCTAGCCACGATGAAGCGGTAATACCGTTGGGAGGGATACCGCGACTAGTAACTCCAAAGTTTTCTTTGTAGTAGTTTCTTTTTGAGAATATTCCCAGCTGTGATGAAATAAATTTAATGACATGTCGTATAGTGTTTTCTAATAGTTCATTCTTCTGAGTTTAATGATGACTATGCGTATAATTTGGTTACGGACAATAAGGACATCGTTGAGGTTGATGTAAGCTTAGCACAAATAGCAAAATAGCAAAATGAAACAGAAGAACCAAGGAGTATTTGGTGGCCACAAATAAAACTGATGCATTACAGTTTCATTGAGCTTTCGATAATTCCATCGTTGTGCAAAATATTCATCGGAGGCATATGTGTGATAAAAGAAATTAAAATTGTAATAAAAGGATAATAAGGAATAAAGCTCTCGCCGTCGATCAATCTCTGAGGGATGTACCATGCATTCGACTCCATTAAATATCGTTCCAAGGTGATTGAATGCATGTCTGGCATTAACAATGACGCGGTGGTCTGCCGATGTATCTATCGAACCAGTGCTTCAATCCTTGCAAGCAGGTCTGCTACCAATTTGCTGAGTCCGGAAAGACGGAGAGCTTGGTGAGCCTTGGGTGTGGAGAGTGACCCCATGTGTATTGCAGGGCGCCTCCGACCACTGGGCTACATGAGTCCTTGGGATTGTAATAATCAAAATTAAAAAAAGGAATAAGCAGTAGGTAAAAATTGAAATATTGTGACTCCGATTGGAGCTTGATAACAATCTTAACATCACTTTTTTAGCTGCATCTGTCAGAGGTTCGTCACACGGGCATATTTAGCGACGGTATGAGTGTTAGTGCGATAGGCTCAGTGCAAGTTGGGTTAATGGTCGAACCACTTGCAGCTATTGAAGGAAGAGAAGCAGCTGATGGCACTCAAGCCAGCCAACAGGTAGGTAGCAAGTGTACACTGTCATTATTCTAACTTCATGTGCCTTATTTTTGCTGATTTATGACACAAAAATCGAATTTTGTGGTGTTTAAACGATGTCGTTGGGTTGGCGACATTGGTATATGTAGGCATTTCTGCTTTATTTAAGAAATCATGCTTCTCGATAATAACTTGACAGATACTTATGACGCTCTTATTGCAATAGCACTAGTTAGTACATACATTTGGGAATTAAAACCAGTTCTTTTAGTCAACGTTAGGAGAATTTGCTGAAACCGTATTGCGGCATTTAGTAAACCATGTTGAGTCGTACACAACCAGATTGGCGAGATCCGATGGTCAAGGTTTGTGCACGATTGACCTCTGTTCAAAATGAAGGTGTTTACCGTTCATTCTAATGTACATGTGTTGAATAAAAGGCGCATATGGCGCAGTGGTAGGAGGCGCCCTGCAATGCACATGGGATCGAATCCCTGACCTACCGAGCCTTCCATCCCTCCGGGGTCGGCAGGTTGGTTCCAAACTTTTCTGGGAGGATAGCAGCACTAACTCGATACATCGGTAGGCCACCGCGGTTGATTGTAAAGGCCAGATATGCATTCAGTCATCTCCAAACGATGAAATCGAATGCATGACGCATTTCTAAGAGATTGATCAACGCTGAGAGCTTTACCCTTTATGCTCTATGTACAGGTTGAATAATTCTATGTTCAGGCTTTGCTGATTACATTCCTGTCTCGGCGCTACAGGAATGGTATAACAACTTCCGGCGTCGATTTGAGCAGAATCCATATTTCTGGAGATCTATCCGAAACACTTGACATTATTGTATGTTCTTTGTCTTTCACGTTCCATTTTCATAAACGGGCTTCTTCATAAGCGTTGTGTTTCAGCAGTCAGCACTCTACATATTAAGATATTTTGTTTACTACCAAACAGTTCCTCACTTTAATCGCATTTGACAACCTGCCAAAATATTCGGCATTAGCTTAGACATTGTGGGGCTCTATTAGAATATTATTGGTTGGAGTAAAAGGTTGACATAGCTACCACTTAGAAGTAGTGGAATTCATCGGGATCTTCTAGAATTTTACAAGTAGTTTACAGGAGATTTCTTCGATAACCACTTTTCCTACTGTCGTCTCTGTTAAGGATATTGTGTACAACGTAGTAAATATTAAAGAAGACAATTATAGTAATGGTGTTTTAGGTGAACAAAACTCATATTGCAACGTTATGCAAAACATAGTAGAGATTGAAAAACTTTGTTTTTATGGAATTAACAGACGTACACATTACAACCATAACGATACTGAGATGTTTGCAAACCTCCGAACCGCTGGTGTCTGCGGTGGGGATCGAACACAATTTTACCCCTTCCGTAAGCTAACGCGTTCACCTCCACATGCGAATACCTCGTCTCGCCTTCCTCTCAGCTGTGTTATCGATCTATGACCACCGCAGACACCAACGGATTGGAGTTTGGCAAGTATCTCAGCAGCGTTATGGCTATATTTCACATAACAATCTGCTGGTAAAAAGGAATAGGCAGTCAGCAATAAATGACTATGTTGTGATTTAGTCGTACACATTGTTGATGTACCAAGTTCTGCACTGCTCTAGGATACTCATGTCTAGAAGAACCAGGGTGGCAATTTGTGTTTATACATACAAACACGCTGGCGTATGAATCTGACTTGGGACTGAAATCAGGAAGGTTCAGCACGACTTAATTGTACTGGCAGAGATGAGAAGACACCCTTTACCATTAACCCTTTCATGAGCATGCACCCTGACTTGAATATATAGGCTGCTGCACGTTTGGAACAGTACATCTTAACCTCTATGCGCATCTCAGTTGCGCCCCGACGGGACGCGGTCCGATGGGCCTGCCACAGGGAAATGGATGCTGTCGTGAAAAGGTTAAACCCCGTTTATGACACTGAAGAAAAAAGCTGTTGTTGAGAGCATATAAGGAATCAGAGGAGAAGACAACGGTTGCGTTAATACCCTTGTCAATACAAGCTTGGCTGTGAACGTAGAACGTAACTTGGTTTCAAAACAGTAAATGAATAAATTTTTGTTCTTTGAAGATTTGTTTCTGAAAAAGCCTAAGATGAAAACAGCACTTTAGAAATCTTACGCAAACTCATGGATCGATAGCGCAGAACTATCAAGTTCTCAACTAGGTCAACAAGTTTAATTATCGAAAAACCAGTAACGTATGTCATGTGCCGAGCATAAGATCAATCGTGACCAACATTTGATTACTGCCCCATTTTCAGTCACTACCACGGATCGTGGTTATCGTACGAGATATATACAAGATAAAGACCATCAAAAGCACTAATAAAATACGGAGGACCGAATTATAGATGAAAAAAAGCACACAAAGGGTACAAGGCCATTGGGCGCGGGGGTCGATCCCATGTGTGTGTTGCAGGGCGCCTCTGAACACTGCACCACACGCACCCTTATATATATGTAATATATATATATAAATGTACATACACATTTATATTTGGAGGAAATAGCGGAGTCATGGGTGATGCAGCCTACTCTCCTCCAGTCCACGTGGGAATGCCTTACCTCGGCTATCTCCAAGATCGCAAGGAGATCTGACTCGACCAGTAGCCTACGACAGTTTACGACATTTATGCAGAAGTCGAATTCCTCAAGTAACAGCCGAAACGAAATGGAAGATGTAATATTTCGAAACCGACTTTCCTTTAACCTTGGTGTGACTAATCAATACGTATTCCTTCTTGATGAGCTTAGGCGAGGTTTGATCGTCGGCTCTGATGAAGACGAAGGCGTCGAAACGTTACCCGAAAATAAATAAATATATTTATCAACCTAGCGTAAGCTCATCAAGAAAGAATACAAAATGGAAGATGTTCGAAGACCTCTGAATACGATGAATACGAGAAAAATGAATTGAATGCAGGAAGTGTTGGGATCTGCACAGTAGACAATAATGACAGGTCATGTAATGGTAATAATAATAAAAATATAATATGACAGGCGAATAAATATATATATACATACAAATATATATGAAAATACGAAGTATATTAAAAAAATGAAGTAAAAAATTCATGGCAAACACATAGAAGAGGCTGAACCACGAAGCGGACAATACAAGGAACAATGTGAAACAAAGCCTTTATTTGGTTTGATCAATGACCCATTGAGCATATGGGGATGACACTGCATCAGCTGCAATCGAAACAAAAGCTGGCACATCGTAAGTGTGGTTAGCCATAATGACCTCGAAAAAAAGCGTTTTTCTACCTCTCCTAACGATAAATGAGACACGCGAAGACTCACTTTGTGGAGCTCCTCAACCCGCTGCTCTTGCGTCTTAAAAATCATGACCACTTCGGAATCTTCATGCAGCTTCCCCTCCCATTCATATCTAAATCAGCATTACCTGGAAACACCTGATCTCTAATCAATATCTGTAAAACATACATACATAGATGTCACACCAGGAATGATATTTACACAAGCAGCCACCTTGTTCTCCACTGCCGCCCTAAAAGTTATCTTTAAAATGTAAAAACAGTTTGAAAAGCACAAATAAACAAAACATCCACTAAACCCCAAACTACAACAAACCTAGCAATCTTAAGGGCAACATCTTTCGAAGGAGCCGTAACATAAACAACACGAAGGTTACTCATTCGAGATAACATTGAGCCCAGACTTGCAGCCATAAATCTGAATCAAACAAACTTCCTTTTTGAACTTGTTAATGAAAAAGTTATTCATTAAGTTGATAACGATCTAGAAGAGGTATGTCGATAAAATCGAACAATTTTTAAGGTAGATGTAGTAGATCACTCATTATACGATGCTCTTTTTATTCACGTTTTACCGTTACATGTTTCAGATTCTTCTTAAATCTTTGCATAAAGCAAAAACCTTGCGTTCTGTTTCCAAAGACATCGGTGGCATGTACCATCCCTTCCACAATGTTACGCGGCATCGCTCACGGCTAACCAGCGGTTACTTCTTTGTAATCATTCATTATTACTGTTAATATTGTATTAATGATATAGTAATATTCGAATGCCATTGTCTCGTTGTTAACCTCACTTTACTACAAGCCTTAGCACCTCAGAGCTTGAACTCGCGTCATTCCTCTACCATTACTTCTCTATCGTTACCATTATGTTATTAATGTCGTATTTATGTATTAAACGGTTTAATTACCCAAGTTTAAGGCAGGCAGATCAATACAACAACTAAAAGACCCGCGTGGCTAATATTCCACACCAATCTGAACCGCTACACTTCGCCGCCAACTATTTCGTTACAGGGTATTCTAGAAGAGAATTCCAAATAAAGAAGTCGCATAAGGGATAACTTACCACATCATTAATAATAAACCTTATCTTAACTCTTTTATTTACTGCCTTTTTCTTCTTCATGGCAGGTTATGTTTCGAATTATAACTCGTATGAAATGCTGAGATATTTGCAAAACTCCGGACCACAGGTGTATGCAATGGAGAACGAACACGCGCTGTTGTCCTTACCGGGGAGCAGCGCACTTCACCACTACACCATCCGGGTCCTTCGCTTTGTACTCTCAGCTAGTTCTATCGATCTTATAATACACCTTATAACAAAACGGTTGGACTCATCACGTCTTCAAAGTAGAAGGCTCCATGAAGGCAACTACACTCTTCTTCTTGCGCAACAAATTTGGATTTGAGGTTTCTGCACCACACTAAGGTAGCCCGACATGTACACCTCGCCACAAGAGTCGACATTATTGTCTAGTTTATAGGGAACCTATGAAAAACACTCTACGGACATTGAAAACTATTTTGTCAAGGAAAGCTTTCCATCATGTGCCACATATCTTATGAAAAAATAGATCTTATAACAACGTTGAAGTGAAACTGGAAAATTCCTCTCTATATTTTCTGTGAAATAGAGCAACTTTTGTTCGAAAACTAGTGTCCTTCACAAAATTTGGTACGTCCAGTTATGGAATTTTGCTAACAGACTTGAAGGACTGAAAGTATTTTTGGTTCGTCCTTTTCGAATAGTTTACTTCCCAAAAAACTATTCAGCGCATTTAAAATGCGCAACAGGCTGCCAGATAGGTATAAAACACAGCGATATTTGAGGAAGACTTGATTCCGCACAATTTCTGGAGCTTACGATTAAAAAGTGACTATCACCTCTAGAGAAAAAGAGGCGTACTAATAAAAAAAGGATAAAGCTCTCGGTGTTGACCAATAATTAAGGGATGCGCCATGCATTCGCCTTCATTAAGAAGCGTTCGAAATGAATAAATGCATATCTGACCTTTACAATGACTCACGGTGGCCTACCGAGTATCGAGCCAGTGATAGTGTCCTTCCAGACAAGTGCGGTACCAATTTGCCGACCTCTGAGATGGAGGGCTGGGTCAGCCAGAGGAGAGGGGATCGATCCTACGTGTATTGTAGGGCCATTCCAATCACTGCGTTACAGACGCCCTAGCTTAGTTCAAGCTTACTCATATGAAAATCAAAATGCATTAAAACCAATTTTTCTATGCTGAACAGTACGGACTACAGTCAGCTATGTCATGCGATGCACATTATCGTTGGTTCGATCCTATCTTTCATTTTAGTCTAAGCTTCATTTTATCGTCAACGCAGAGGACGACCAACGAAACAAGTTGTAGGAAGCCAAATCACTAATAGAAATTAACAATACAAGCTGTAACAGAATATGCAGACCCCAGGTATTGACCAATTCCCGATTAGACGTGGACTTGCTTTCCACTAGTACATCGCAATCAAGAAGAACTTTGATATGGTCTTAAGTTACTTAAGGTCAGCATAAATGATACCAACATCTACGGGATTTTGGTGTACAAAAAAGTGATCCTTATATAACTGCAGATACGGCTCAGTTTCAGTGAGGAGACTTATGCACGATTTGCTCCATGAAGTGACTATGCCTGCACACCGGTAATTCCTACGCATGGCTAGGTGAGAGCTTGTTGCATAGGAAGAACCATGTTATTACGATTCATACGAGTCACTGGAATGATGTTGAAGAGGAGACAATAAACAGAACAATGTAACCAGAGTTTTGTCACCGGATGGTACAACTGTTCAAGAGAAAGGATAAAAAAAAAGACATTATTATATACATAATTAATGATAAGACCTTTGCGAAAAGTCATCAAATCGCAGATGACTACAAACTAGAGATAACAGAAGCTTTTAGAGATCATATGCGAACAGAGGGTGGGATCTACACATGGCTCTTCTTCAAATTTGTCACTCAGTTGTGCTCTATCCTAGATGTATCTTGGTATAGAGACCACGTGTGTGAAACGTCCATGATACAATTCTTTCCCCAAGTCACCGATATAGTAAATTATTGGAAGCTTTAAGCAGCAAAAGCTTTTTACGCACAAGTGTATGGAAGATCTACAATGAATGGGTGCCGAAAACCTCTCTGAATGACCTCAAGACGACATCCTGAATTCCATTAAAATATGTTTCCACATGTTCTAAGTCCCATGTCCTTGAAGAAACTGGTATCAGAGAATCGAAAAGTTATTCTGGTTATCAAAAAGTCAAATTATTCAAACTGTGCTCAATTGGTTGTCGGTTCCTACAGCTACAGAATTTTGGTGTATACCGACAGCGATGGATGCTTCCATAACTCGAGATCTCTCACTATGCGCACGCAGTACACACAATACCAGAAGCAGCAGGCAGTACACATACTGCCGGAAGTACTATTTTCATAGCCAATACCAGTTATGTGAGAAGTTAACTTAGGTTCCCATTATTTGAAAACTCGTCTGAAATGTACAATACCTGCATAACTCTAACAAGCTGATAATGAATGAAGGCGTCTCTATACTGACAGTTAGTAAAAAAACTCTTCTGTGAAGGTCTACAGCAGAAGAGCACCTGTAGGAAAACAAGAAAAGATTTTCCAGGTATCCGAATGCAGCTGAAGAGATGGCAATGAACAGCACAAAACGCCGGAGTCGTACGGTGTTGAAGTGGAAACACAATAGGAACATTCTTATAAAACCCACAAGTGATAATGCCACCTTTTCCACAATATACCAAGAACGCAGATTACTCAGCATAGGTCACTCGACGTCAGGCCTACATAAAACCCTTCTTCTAGTCAGCCACTTTGACGTGTTTGATCATAGATCTTTGTACAGTGTAAAACGTGGCTGGATGTCTCCAACTTGGACGTATATATGCAATACATTGGAATTGGTAGTACTTCCATGCTCTAGTGACTTCTCATTTAGTTTTAAAAAGCGGGAAGTGGATAAAAGATAAAGCTCTTGGCGTTGATGAATCTCTGAAGGCTGGGCCTTGCATTCGGCTTCATTAAGCATCGTTGGAGGTGATTGAATGGATAGCTTTACCTTTACAATGACTCGCGGTGGCCTACTGATGTATCGAGCAAGTGCTGCTATCCTCCCAGATTAGTCTGCTACTAATTTGCCGATTCCGGAGGAATGGAAGGCTTGGTGAGCCTGGGACACGGGATCGACCTCATATGTATTGCAAGGCGCCCCTGACCACTGCACCATACGCGCCAGGGAAAAAAAGCGGCAGTAGTGGACAAAGGTCACGAAAACGATATAAATGGTGTTACTAAGCGCATATCAAAGCAATACGATTGCAAACACGCTATAAAACATGACAAGGAGGTCAGCACCAAATATCTCACTTAATAATGCAAGGTTTGCCAGAATAAGGTCCCATTTATCCCGCCCTTCATTTCTAGCCAAATAAGTACACATATAAAACGTTAATTAAGAAGGTCCCGCTCAGAGAAATCGGTAACAGTGATTGAAATATACCGAACAGTCTAAGACGCAATGTGAACTCTGTGCGATTGGTCTCCACGTGGAGTACTCAGAGCAAGACTAACTGAAAGCGATGAAATGTCAAGAAGCCGTTTCGTCTTTAGTGCGATTGAAGGCTAGGTATCGTGGCTTTTCTGTTGAGGTTATGGAGGTGTTTGGATGACTAGGCTTCAGTTAACCTTACCTTCTACACTCTCAAGAAGGCGAAATCCTCCGAAACTTTCGCTTTTGTGGATAAATAAATAGCATAGAATATCATATGTGCTTATAAAGAAAAAAGCGAGTCACTAAGTACACTACTTGAAGGAAGGAGGGATAGCGCAGTGATTAGTGATGCAGTCCATCAGAAAACAACGTGCTGGCTCGATCCTCTGTCCAACGCTCTCCCTCAATTGACGTGGGAACACCTTAGGTCGTAATCTCTTAGATTACAGAAAGAATGAACTCGATTACTATTCTACAACCTTCACAAAGAAGACAAAATCCTCAATCAGCAGCCGAAGCGAGACGCGAAACGTTCGGCGACCTTTGTAGATGATGAAAACAAAGGTGAATCGAGTACAAGAAATGCTGGGATTTAAAATTAATAAGAATTAATTGTAGGAGACACTACTGCTTAGGATATTTGAAACCTGCTCATAAAATGCACCTCTTCCTTGAAGTGCCTTAAGTGAAGAATTCCCTGTATGCATAACCAGCAACTGTGAAAATTGCCGAATGTGGGTAAGAACTGCGATTTCTACAACAATGTCCTTATTTATGTATGTGATCTTACAAACTGATCTTCTTAAGCTGACGCAAGGTTGGTACAGATCTTCGTTGTCGTTGTCGTTGTTTTTGATGTTATTGATCGATGGCTGACGTTTCGACGACTTCGCCTTCCTCAGAGCCGTGATGTTACGTGCGGGTCCCTTATATAAAATACGTCAGGCTCTGAGGAAGGCGAAGTCGTCGAAACGTCAGCCATCGATCAATAACATCAAAAACAACGACAACGACAACGAAGATCTGTACCAATCTCGCGTCAGCTTAAGAAGATCAGTTTATAACATCACATAAATAAATATATCAGCTATCTATGCCGAGGTTTATAGAAAGTCGGCCTTTCGAGTTATTAAGAAATGTCCTTAATTCTACATGCTGGAGCGGATTGCACAGTGGTAGTGATGTCCGTCATCACGAGCACGGTACTAGTTCAATTCCGTTCCGGACCAACCAAGCCTCTCATCCCTCCTGTACCGGGAAATTGGTACCGGACGAATCTGGGCGAAAAATCACTCTCTGCAGTCCAATTGGAAACGCTCCAGCCCGGCTATCTCAGGACTCCAGCGAGAATTGCACGACCAGCACTCTACGACATTCAAAATGGAATGAAAATCCTCAAGCAGCAACCGAAAGCCATGCGTAAAAGTTGGAAAGGTCTTCGTGGACAATGGATACGAGGAAATGAGTCAATACGAGAAATGCTGGGATCCGCACAGTAGACGTGAAGTTGGGTCAAATAAAATAGAAATAAAAAAATAATTCTACATGAGAAATGCAAATTGTATGTATGCATACGTTACGAACTGCAGAATACAAAAGAAATTCTTTTGAGCATAATGTTTAAAATATCAGTGAAAGATTGTGACAATAAGACTTAGTAAAAATGATAAAGGATAAAACCCTCCGCGTTGATCAATCAATCTCTTAGGGATGCGCCATGCATTCGACTTCATCAAGCATTGTTAGAGGTTACTGAATGTATATCTGGCCTTTACAATGACTCGCGATGGCCTACTGATGTATCGAGCCAGTGCTGCTATCCTCCCACACTAATCTGCTACTAATTTGTCGCTCCGGAAGAATGGAGCGCTTGGTGACCCTGGGACAAAGGATCGACCTCATGTGTAATGCGAGGCGCCCTCGACCACTGCTCCACACGCACCCTATAAGACTTGGTAACTGTTTACAAAACACACACTGTGTTGAAGCACACTGCTGATGAACCCATACTTTGCGGGCATCTAACTACTCTGAAACCCCTCAGTGAGTTATCAACCACAAAAACGAACGCTTTCCGCGTGGCTGGTGCGCCATGAACTCTACTTCATTAAGGCAAAAGTGATTGAATGCATATCTGGCCAAGTAAGTGTTGCTATCCTCCCGGACAAGGACGGTACCATAGCCCGAGTGCGGAGGGCATTGGTGAGCCCAGTGGTGGGATTGAACCAGCGACTACACGTGTTTTGCGTGGCACCTCTAACCACCACTGCATAAGCTCTTATTTATTTACCATCTTATCGTAGTCAAAATCTCTCCCTAGATGCTAAACAACATGTGTCGGACAACCTATCAGTTGAATACAAAAATGCGGCAAGAACTTCATGTCGCAAAATAAAACCCCTTTTATTTCTACTACCATTTTTCACGGTAAGGTGTGGTGTACGATACAACCACAATAATGCTGAGATATTTGAAAAACTCCGGACCGCAGGTGACTACGGTGGGGATCGAACACGGTATTACCCTTTCCGGAGGCTAACGTGTTCACCACCACACTATGTCGGCCTTTCGTCTCGCCTTTCTCTCAGCCATGTTTTATTTAACCTAAATCAATTAAACTGTAAATTCATTTTGTACAATGTACTCCGTCCACTTTGCCCTTCCCTCAAGTATGCATTGTGCACAATGCATCACGGACGCTATATGGTATAACGGAATTGAAAGCACAGCGCTCCACCAAGAGATTGCTCAACGCCATGCGCTTTTCATAATCAATTTGTTCGTTTTCGAATTGATATTATTACTAAGTGAATTGTGCATCTAAAAATCAGCACTTCTGCCTCCTACCACAATAAATCTCCTATGTGTAGAACGACGGACCGAAAGTTAACAGAAGTGACTGTGTATAAGAGACAAAACAAATGTTACAAGACATTAAAAACTACTACGGCGCGGATAGCACAGTGGTAACGGTGTCTGTCACCTCGACCATGGTGCTAGTTCGATTCCGCTCCAGGCCAACTAAGCCTCTCATTATTTAACGTATTATTTACTGCCCATTCTTTTTAACGGCAGGGTATACATTGTGAAATATAACTTCAATGTTGCCGAGATATTTGCAAAACTCCGGACCGCAGGTGTATGTGATGGGGAACGAACGCGTTATTGTCCTTACCGGGGAGTAGCGCACTTCACCACCACACCTTCGGAAAAATGGTACCGGATTTCTCTGGGAAAAAATCACTCCCTGCAATCCACCAATTGGGAACGCTTTAGCCGGCTATCTCAGGACTCCAGCCGCTCGACCAGCAGTCCACGACATCCAAGGTGAAATGAAAATCTTCAAGCAGCAACCGAAGCAACACGTAGAAACTCGGAAGACCTTAGTGGACGACAGATGCGAGGAAATGAATTGGATGTGGGAAGTGCTGGGATCTGCACAGTAGGCGTGAAAATGGACCAAATAAAAAAAATAAAAATAAAAAAAAACTACTAGGCGCTAGCATCTCTTGGTGGTGAATAGAAAAAGGGGACGTTGTACTGGACAACACCCCTACATTTAAAAAAAATGATAAAACTTTTGATGAAACACCCTCGTTAACAAAAACCTTATTTCGAAACTGAACATGAAAATTTGGTGCAGAACCTCTCTGTCAGGCTACACTAAATCGGCCACGTATAACGAAAACGAAGTGGTTCTAACTTCTACCTGAATTACCTCTGTTAACATTGCCATAAACTGTGAGGTGCATGGTCGCATTTCCCTATTAAAAGTTTAAGGTTTAACGGATGCTTAATAAAGGATTAAGCTCTCGGCCTTGACCAATCCCTTAGGGATGCGTCGCACATTCGACTTCATTAAGGACAACTGGAGGTGATTAAATGTATATTTGGTCTTTGCAGTGACTCGCGGTGGCCTGCCAATGTATCGAGCCCGTGCTGTTATACTCCCAGACAAGTTTGGTACCAATGGACCTACCACGGAGGGATGGAGCGCTTGGTGGGCCGGAGGCACGGGTATCGATCGCATGCGTAATGCAGAGCGCCTCCGACCACTGCTCTGCACGCGACCAACTGATGTTAAACGTAAATGAATTCGGATATCATGAAAACTCACAAAAGTAGCGAGAAGAGAAATAGTAGAAATGCAAATCGGGGCATGACTTGGAGTCGACCTTAACACTCGCCTCTTTACTAAAGAACTGCCTCTTCACTCTCAAGTACAGATTACGAAATAACGCACCTACCAGAGAATACACTGAACTCTTGGAAAACAGTTTATTCTCTAACAGAGGCATTGAACTCCAGAAGACACTGAAAGGATAGTCATCTATGCTACGAAAGTCTGTTTGTTTTCTAAGCAGAATCTGCCAGAGTGAAAGCGGTAGAGAGATGGCAGGCCATATAAGAGCTTCGGAAAGGGTTAAGAAACCAAATATCCCTGGAACAAAAGAAGAGCCAGCACAACTACGAAATGTATAAGTGCTTTGTGCAACGTATGAGAGAAACTGTGGTAAGTTCCTTCAAAACAATAGCATGGGGATTATGCAGCTAACGTGCTCAAGTGTGTCAGCGTGACGGCGCCGTCTCGATCATTCGAATGCGTCGTTCGTGCTCCGGGCATCTCTGGGGAAGTTTCCACTCCCGAGAAGCGGGATCCATGTCCGGAGTGGACGCGGACTTTCTGATTCCCACGATCCCCACCCACTTCCCACTCAACGTCTGCCCTGAGTGGTGGTGCTCACAGGGCTCATGTTCCGGCCAGGTTTCGCTCGTTGCCGCATCTCCTGACATCCCAGCTGTTTCTCTGGCTTGCCATCTTCTTCTGGCCGCTGAGCATTCCGTTAAGCTCGTCGTTCATGGTGCACTCCGTCCCATCTATTCGTGAATTTTCAGGTAGATGCTTTCTCGTTGAGCCGCAGTCCGCCTCGATAGCATCTATCAATTTAAAATGTATTCGTATCTAAATGAAAGCGATGATTCCACCACGGTGAACATCAGTGCTTATGGGAAATTCCTCCCAGGAAAGGGTTTGTTGTCCAGCCTTTAGAGAGCTTTTGAGAAACTCACCATTATATATTCAACATTAATCATTTTTAATGTCATCATTCTTCTAGGAAACCAGCTCCTCACTATCGGGGCTAAATATTTGCGATTATTTCGCACCAATCCTTATACGCTAAGCCCACCAAGGGATACGACTGAGGAATGGCAACAAGGAACGAAGTTGGAATGCGTTTATAGTTGTCGATTTATGGCTCCCATTCAGTCGTTCGCTAAGGCGAAGCTTCCCGGTACGACCAATTTCCAAACAACCTAATGGTTTTACAACCATTCGCTGTGATTTCGATATTTATTGGCAACTTGTTTATTTGAAGAATTGACAGAACAGGGTTATAGAGGAGAAGTACTACAGGCTTATAAAGGAGAAGCACTCTAGAAGTACTACTTTCATCTTGAGTTTGTTTAAAATTCGAAAGACTCAGCTTTTTCATCCTTTAAAGTACATCCCTTGAAATTCTTAGCGCAAGAAGCAAATTGCAAGCACCACTGTCTTCGGGCGTTTCATCGTCTGTTGTTGGACTTGGTCCCTCTTGTTTGATCTTACCGTTGGCTCCTCCCTTGATCTTAACGGGGAAAGGTGAAGATAACCGATTTCTAGGGTTCACACATTCAGAATCCTTGGTAGAATGGATGAACTTATTTAGTTCAATTTATTTCACTGGTGTGTTCCAATTAATAGTGTTCGCAATGCGTTGAGAGGGCTTTATTTAAGGTTGAAAGGGTAAATTCTGCTGTGTGGGGGCCATATATGGCTCCAGTACTGGTAAATCTGTCGAAGACCTTAATGTTCTCGTTATGACGATTTGTTTTAGGGTACACAGCTTCTGACGCTATGCTGCTGGCCTTCGAGGGTTGCAATGTGTCCGTTGTCGCCATTGATGGAGAGGACAGAGCACTCAGTACCATTTCCCTGCACAGTTTTTCATCTGAATTCAAGCGTGATGGCTTCACGCACCACTTTCATGAGCCGATTGTTAGGGTTTGGTTTTAGTTCGCTTCATATTTTTCATCTTCGCTCTTGTTAAAGCCTTCTAATCCTTACTAATTTTCTCATCTAAACATTTCTTGCCTTAATAGTAGGAGGTTCCGTTTGCCTGCTATATTTTCCATTGGTTTCTTAATAAAAAACTGTAGGCTATGGGAGAAAAAGCCCGTCACATTTAGGCTGATCCGGCAAATAGATGTGGTGCTGTCATCGTTTATGACAGGATTCTTGGCATACTGCCTTTCGATGGCGATTTCATAAACAGTTTCTCAATCCCACTATCAGAGATCGATCATCGGTATTGTATTTACCTCTGCTTTTCATTACCATTCCTACTCATTGATAATAATGAATATGAAACCTAATGAGGCATATCTGCAGTATAGGACTATTTTACTTTACTTTATGTTTATATTTTACTAGCATTGTGCTTTATTTTTTAACCAGTAGTCTCACTTATATTTTTTCACCACATTCTTTTTTAAATCCACAGGTTATTTGTCCATCATTTCAATTTTTCTTTCATAGGCTAGAACGCTAAGGGCGCGTGTAGCGCAGTGGTCGGAGGCGCCTTACAATACACATGGGATCGATTCCCACGCCCGAGGCTCACCAAGCCCTCCATCCCTCTGGGGTCGGCGAATTGATATCAAACTTGTCTGGGAATTCTCCCAGCACTGGCTCCATACATCGGTAGGCCACCACGAGTCATTGTAAAAGCCAAATATGTATTCAGTCACCTCCAACGATGCTTAGTGAAGTCGAATGCGTGACACCTCCCTCAGGGATTGATTAACGCCAAGAGCGTTAGGACCTTTGAGAGCTTTACTAGAACGGTGAATGTGTATGAGGCGGCCTGTATAGTATAGGTAGGAAATAGAAAATAAGCAATCCAGTGTTGTTTACCTTCGCTCCATTTATTGGTTTGGAAAGCTAAACATGCTTTTGTTCTAATTTTCTTTGCTTTCATCATTTCTTTTTTAAGGCTTGAAAATGTGGTCGATATAGTCTTCCTCGATGGATATTATGAACCTACACTACTATTCCTTTACGAGCCACATCAGACAACAGCGGGAAGGTTAGTGTGATTTCTTCCTCACTTGGATACGTCAGTGTTTATCGATGTGTATTTCAAATTCCCATCTACAGGAATAACTTCAGTTTTAAAGCTTCAACGTTTTGATTTCCAACTCAATAGTTCCCTTTAGAGCATCAGTGCGGTATGACACAATGCACTTGCTGGGAGTATCAGTAAATGTTTTTGACGAACAGGTAGCTATCGTGTGGCAGGTCGGAAGTCTTCCTATGGATTGTAATAGGTGTGTTTCATTTATTCTGTAGCGCCTTCATATCTTTAGTTGCTATCGCATAGAACGAAGGACTATAACATCGTTTGTTTTCGTCTCACTCGAGCACGCACCCAAGATTTCTCCATTTAACCCACTGCGTACACATGGGCCATTAGGTTATCTGATCTAGGAAAATAGGCATCGTCATATGTTTCTTCTAGGTTATTTTTGAAATAGTCTAAGCATCGCTACGATGGTCCTCCTTCTTTGTGTGACATCTATTGGGACTTAGTTGATTGTTGTCTACTGGTCGTCATTAAGATGCATCATATGTCTGGCCCACATGTTGCTTGATATCTTATGATATACTGCATCGTTTCCTATACTTGATCTTCTGCGTACTTCAGACCTTTCGGTTCGTTGGACCTATATGATACGGGATGTTTCTAGCATAACACTCATTGTATAGAGTTGAAGGTGGATAACCTGAACGATCCGTCATCTTGCTTACGTAGCTTCCAGAATTCTGAAGTCTGTATCAATTTCAGATACACAACTGGAACATTCGGAGATATTCCTACCGTTAAGAATGAATGGAGCGTCAATTTCTCATGAACTTCCTTTTTCTGAAATTCAAGCAGAGACAGAGATATGGTTCTTTCCACAAGCGTTGTTGTTGAGTTGCCCAGTATTTGCCTCACTTGGCTAATGTTTGGTATTATAAGAACGATATTGTTAACAAAGCGAAGATAGTGTAGCTGCCGACAGTAGACTTTCGCTGTCATCTCACTTCAGTTTTCGCACGAAATTCTTGAGATTAGTGTTGTCTAGTGTCGATGACTTATTATCGCCCTGTAATTGCTTCAAAGTGGTAGACTTTGGCCAGGCTGTCCTCCGGACTCCAGGGAAACACAATCGCTTAACCAGCAAAACTCCGAGAAAATGGAAATGATGCTGGGGCCGGCACAACTAGTGATGACGGGCCATCCAAGTGTCCAACTAATTGCTATAACAACGCTGCAAATTTTTGAAAACTTGAACCCCGTATAACTTTCGTTAATTTAAGTTTCGAGCAAATTTAGAAGAAACCTTGAAAAATCATTTACACTTTTAGAATGCTAAAGCAAAGCACTGCCTACATCTACGCTAAGTTTCTAGTAACTCACAGAGACCTCTTAACAGTCTTGCTATGAGTAGGAGAGATATTAGCGGCGTGTTATGCTCCGTAAATACAGATATGAAGATCAATGTTTATTGTCTCATTTTCTTTTAATCCTGTTCTATTCCTGATAGTGGATGTTCTTCAGGCTGGTGGCTATTCCGAAACCGTTAGGAGGTGTTCTTGTGGTTGGATCGAATGAGGTGATCTACCTCAACCAATCAGTTCCCCCTTGTGGGATTAGCCTTAATAGTTGTTACGATAACTTCACGAAGTTCCCTTTGAAGGTATTGCGTGGATCTTCCTTATATCGCTGCAAATGTGGAGATGGCTGTTGCATCAGTTATACCCGAATCACGTTTAGGATTTGAAGCACATGTCGATGACATTGGATGCCGGCGCTGCAGAGTGGATCGGCGATAATCGTATTGCATTAGGAACTCTTTCTGGCAGGCTTTTTATCCTAACATTGGTCACTGATTCCTCTGAAACAGTGCGATCACTTACTATGGAGCATGTTTTCGGTGAGTCTCGTTAACACACCTCTTACTCATGTATTGCCTCCTGTTATATTTTTTTCAGACACATCAATCGCTTACTGCATGTCTCTGTGTGCTCCTGGATTCTTGTTCATTGGTTCTCGACTTGGTGATTCACAACTCTTAGAGTTTTCTGTGGAAAAGAAAGAGAAAGGTAAGGTTCCTCTCATATGAAAACCTGTAAAGCAATTTCCTTCGGTGTATTAAAACTCAGATGCACGTTTATATAGGCTAACTTACGACCAGCATCTTCAACAAAAGTGTGTGCTAGTAATTGCTATTTTTTTTGATTTATCGATTCCTTCGATTCATTAGTTCAACAGGGCTCATGTGGCGCGGAGATCGGAGGCACCTGTAACACACACCTAGGATCGATCCCCGCGCCCGCAGCCCACCAGGCCCTCCATCCCTGCGAGTTCTGCAAATTGCTACCAGACTTGTCTGGGAGGATAGCAGCACTAGCTCGATATATCGGTAGGCCACCGCGAATCATTGTAAAAGGCCAGATATGCGAACAACCACCTCTAACGTTGCTTAATGAAGTCGAATGCATGGCGCACCCCTCAGAGATTGATCAGCGCCGAGAGTTTTATGGTTTTTTTTGGTCTAACATACATCGCGGTGTAGTTGTTGTGCCGAATAATCATTTTTTGCCTTAGGCTTATCACAAAATGTGCAGCCCAACAATTTCGATATGTTGAGGTGCTGTTTAGTGGACTATTTCTAGTTCTTTCATATCGTATGCCATTGTTATTCCCTTCTACTTGACTTGGTACGCTCATGTGACGCTTGTCAGCATTATATACAACGAACTCAGATAGAGAAATTCTTCCTGATATCAAACGGCCTCGCATTGAAGAGAACATAGTTATCGATGAAGATGATATTGAACTTTATGGGGAACGTATTATTGAACAAGTGGTGAGAAATTCGTGTCCTATATTGTTTTATTTAAAATCCCATCTTTGGTGTTTTTGTTAAAAATGTCGCACAGCGGAACGACTAATATTGAATGACTTACAGGCCCCTGTTGTATCAAATGTGGAGGAGAAGCTGACGTTTCATGAATTAGATCGTCTGACCAACATTGGTCCCATTAAAGCGATGACAGCAGGCGGAGCTCATGGAAGCAGTCCGATCCTGCTTGAACAAGAGCGATCGGATCCTCTGTTTGACATTGTAAAGGCCACTTCATTCTTCACCATGTCTTGTTGTTTCCCATAAACCCAAGGCTTAGAATAGGATTGTTTTCAAATTTTATAGGTTACCGCGTCAGGCTATGCTGTCAATGGCTCGATTTGTGTGCTTCAGAGAACGGTTCGGCCTGATATTATCACGAGCAGTTTGTGTGTTTTTTACATTCTCTTTTAATCCATATAATACATCTCGTAGTTAAGTTATCTCTTGGTTGTTCATTCGCTGTTCAGCCTACATGATGCACAGCAACTTTGGGCAGTTGGTCGACGAGAGGATGATTCGCATAAGTCAGTGGTAAATGATTATCATGTACAAGAATGAAAGATAACCAATGTTTAGGTACCTTATTGTTTCCCGAACGCGTTCTTCTCTTATTCTTGAATTGGGCGATGATATGGTTGAGTTAGAAGAACCACTTTTTCTGTCAGATGAGCCGACCGTTGCTGCAGGAGAGCTCGCTGATGGTGGGCTCGCTGTTCAGGTTTCTTTTTAATTGCGATGCTTAGGGTTATGTTTGCTAAGTCTTATTCATTTTGTCACTTGAGTTTTATTTCTTTGATATTCTATATTTGATAAAATCTAGGTTACCTCTCTTCGAGTCGCTTTGGTGGCAGAGGAGAAGCAATTGCAACAAATAGATCTCGATTCTAATTTCCCAGTTGTGGCTGCCTCTATTGTTGACCCTTATGTTGCTCTTCTTACTCAGAATGGTCGGCTAATGCTCTTCCATCTCGTAATGCATCCCCATGTCCACATAAAGGTAAGTGTTTTAATGTCCAAGGATGTCTTGCCGTTGTTGCATTTTTTCAAAGACTGGTTTTCAAGGAAATAGACATTTCAACAAGTGCTTTTGCCGAGAAGACTATTCACCATCGAGCTCCGCTTACAGCATTATCTATTTATCGTGATATGAGTGGTCTGATGATTTTTTCGGAAGGCGCAGATGAGAGTGCACTGAACGAGAGGAGGTTTTCTAAACCGAAAAAGGTATGCTGATGACCTTCCAATTGTTTCACTAAGTCCTCGATTATTACTTTTAAAGAAAATGGCAAGCCGACATGGTACGTTGGATTCTGTTGATATTGATCTTTATGGAGAAGAAGCCGTCTCTCTGTTACCGCCGGTTGTGGATGAGGAAGAGCTTCTTTACGGTGACGTAGCAACAAACAAGAAAGGTCTCACATTTGGCCAAATGAGTATTTTTTACGTTTTTCATTGTGACTTGAATTCAGATGATGGTATTCGTAAGAGAAAACGCATGGCTGAGATAACAAGTATCACAACGGGTGGTGAGGAGTCGGATGCAATTGATCCTAACACAGGTCTCATTTTGTTTCAAATTGAATTCTTTCTTCGACTTTTAATTGATATTTTGGTCTTGCTACACTTTTTGTGCCATTATCTTCATTTTCTTGAATAGAAATTGTAGTGGAACCAACATATTGGCTTATATTGGCTCGTGATAGCGGAAAGATTGTGGTGCATTCTCTTCCAGATATGGCAATAGTATACCAGGTACACCTTTTTGTGATTTATTGTGCTTCTGAAAATTTGAAGGAAAGCGTCGGCTATGAATACAACATTTGGTTCGATATTGTTAATACATTGGTTCATTCTCTTTAATCGTTTGTTCATTTTTTAACAGTTCACTTCTTTTGTTTGTGGATGTAAATGAATGAAAAGATGCTTCGAATCGTATTTTGATGCTGGGGACATTTGAAGTGCAAGTAGCCACTGTTTACTTAAATGCGTTTATATCTACTCTGTTCAACGTTGTATCGTGAACTTACCTGGATACTTGGATGGCCCTCTTCACTGGCTGTGCGAGTTCCGGAATAATTTCCATTCTCTGGTGATTTGCTGCTTTAGCCACTGTGGTTTCCTGGAGTTCCGAGGGCAGCCTGGTTAAGGTTTGCCTCAGGTCGTCACCACGATAGGCAGTCGCCACCCTTGTGGATCAGAGAGGGATTTGCCACCGTGCGATGCGACTATTTTGGTACCAGGACGGTGGTGGACCCTGGTTTATTCTTTGCTGGGCTTTCTCATGGAAGCGCTGGACTCCTCAGTTTGGGAGACCCTGGCGGGGATGAATCCCGCCGTATACATCACAGCCTGACACATAGGAACACCGCCCAGCCACGATGTGGCCGCAAACCATTGGTGGAAGGTATCGACCTAGTTACGTTAAACTGAGGACAAATTCTGTTGTGGCGAAAGCGTTCGGTTTGCATTGTCTCCAAACAGTTAGCACTCCAAATAGCATTCTACTTATTCAGAGAGTTGCACGTATTGATATCGCGACTGCTGTGGCGATCATCCATCTGTTAAATTCCGTTTTTGAAGTTTTCAAAGCAGATTTCGTCGTGTAGTATTGTAGTAGAAATATAGTGTTGAGCTGAGTAGCCCTTTTTTGACAAGAGAGGATCGTGCAGAACCCTTCTGCAAGAAACTCTACCTTTTTGCGTATTTCTTTTTGTCGTTTTGCCGAGGAAATTTGCGTTTAAAGTCGACGTTATGAGCAACTTTGATTTTCTTTCAGTTCTTGAAATTTGGACTAATGCCTGAACAGATAACTGATCTTATGCCTGATGAAGAGGAAAAGGATAAAAAAGAGCAAGGTATGGTCATGGAGAGTGACCTGATGTTTAATTGTCGAGTATTTCCTTCAGTTCTGTTTTTAACGTCTTATTTTATCTGTGGGTATACGGTGTTTATGTGGAAAACTCAGTTGTTTTGTGCTGAAAGTCTTTTAGAAATAGCACTTTAGAGGCTCGAGCAGAGCAATTTGAGAATTCTTCTACGCAGTTTCGGCCTAACGAACGAATCGTAGAAGTGCAAATTGTTGGTTAGTTTATTTCATTACTCTTTGTTATTTACAGCTCTCAGGGATATTTTACAACAGGCATGGGTATAAATCAAGGACACCCAATATTAATGGCAGTTATCGATGACCAAGTTATTGCATACGAAATGTTTAAATGGAGGAACCCCTTGAAAGGTAAGGCTTTTTTTATTCTCTTTTGACTTTAACATGGCAATTTTGCGTGTTTGGAAAGCTCCTATTTTTGTACTGCAAACTAAGCACTAGTTCATTCTTTAATTCAGAATTAAAATTAAAAACAAAGCACAGCACCACTCTTCATGAACTGCTTTATCTTTGATCCAACGCACTGCGCGATATGGTCTCGTACCTTCTTTACTTTGAAAAATGTTGTGATGTGAGAAGAAACTTTAAGTTGGTCCAAAATTTCTAGATATAAATGTGTTGCTTTCTTGTTCAGCAATCGCGAGGTTTTTAAACAGCATACATTTACTTCCATAAAATATATAGATATATATATATAGATTTCTAGATATTTATATATATATATATATATATATATATATATAATCTGTTTCAAGAACACCTTGCTATTGGATTTCGTCGGCTGCCGATGACTGTCACTATTAGATCTGCTCCATTTATGGGGCATGATGGAAGGAGATCCGAGGTTTTATTGCTATTTATTCTTTTTTTGTCACGACGATTTAGTGTTCCGTTCCCACCTAGGTCGAAGTTGGTAGGGAAATAGAACAACATCGTGTAATTATTCATACATTCGAACGTGTGTGTAGCGTGGTAAGTTCTTACAGTGGTTTGATTTTATTGCAGTTTGAGTTGGAACTTCCTGTGATTATTTGCAGATGAACGGGGTTGTGCTCTCAGGAGCCTTTCCATGTTTGGTTTTAGTAGGAGCGTGGGGTGGGCTGCAATGTCATCCGCTAACAATTGATGGTCCAATATCCGCATTTACTTCATTCAACAATCAAAATGTTCCTAACGGTTTTCTGTACATAGCCAAGAATTTGCACGAGTTGCGAATTGCTCGACTGCAGGTAGAGAACCTTATGAGTAAAATCTTGTTCACACTGTATTTTGTTAAGTAGTTAATTGTTTTTTTTTACAGACGGACTTCGATTACGAACTGCCTTATCCTTGTAAGAAAGTACCCGTTGGAGCAACAGTGCACCACGTGCGCTACATGATGAATAGTCAAGTACGTCTTAGTGCTATTCCCATCTCCACAGAATACAAAGGATTTTTTTAGGTGTATGCTGTGACAACGTCTGTACCGATAAAAAGCAATAAAATATGGGTTGTGGTGAATGATGACAAGCAGGTCGAAACACATGAGAAGAACGAGAATTTTGTACTTCCATCCATACCGCAGTACTCCTTAAATGTGGGCATCTTGTAAGAATTGTGGAGAAGTAACGTTTCAGCATTCTATGAACCGTGCTGTTTTTCTTTTCTAGTTATATTCTCCAATGGACTGGCAAGTTGTTCCTAATACGGATATAAAGTTTGAAGAGATGGAGGTGGTGACAGCTTGTGAAGAAGTCACTCTTCGCTCCGAGTCAACGATTAGTGGGATGCAACCGTACCTTGCTGTTGGCACAATTAATAACTATGGAGAAGAGGTAGTGTGATTTGATGAACACATTTGGTTTTTAGATCAATGCTCGCCCAACAGGAACTTCCCTGTCTTGCTGAAGTCGTTTAACGAGTGTGTTTTTTTCTTGCTCATTTGTGTTACCTTTATATTCTAAAATAAGATTGTTTTAAATTCTATGGATAAGTGGTGTGAATCAACTCTTGGATCTCTTGAACTCTTTAATCAACATTTTAAAAGTTTTAGCTCTTCATTTTTGGGCTGACTTCAGGCTTTTGTAGGTGCTTGTTCGGGGTAGGATTATACTGGCAGAAATTATTGAAGTAGTACCAGAGCCTGGGAAGCCTACATCTAAACATAAAATAAAGGTTAGTTTGGTAAGGCTTAGTGAGGAGGCAATGTAATTAAGAGGTTTCGGATCTACATGATGAATTGTTTTTGAGTTTAGGTTGTTTATGACAAAGAACAAAAAGGTCCTGTCACAGCGCTAACTTCCATAAATGGTCTTCTTCTCAGTGGAATGGCGCAGAAGGTGTTAAAAGTGTTAAAAGAATTTGCTTATATAAAATTAGTTATTGTTACCGAAGCAGTTGCTTTAGGTCTTCATTTGGGGTTTCCGTGACAATGATTTGCAAGGGATTTCATTTCTCGACATGCATTACTACGTGCATTCTCTGGTGTCAATGCGCAACCTTGCAATCGCTTGTGATATGCACGATTCGATGTCACTCATTCGGTTTCAGGTATTGCTTAGATTTCAAAACCGACTTTTTTTAACCTGGGCTTGACTAATCAATGTCTATGCTCTCATTGATGAGCTTAATTCGTGCAAGCTTATCAAGGAAAGAGTACATATTGCTCAGGTTGTTCAAGCTAGAACTTCAATGGCTATTTTTGTATTTTCTGCAATGTAACTTTTGTTAGATTTTTTCATTTATTTGCGCTTCCAGGAGCAGTTCAAAGCCTTATCTGTTGCATCGCGAGATGATCGTCCTTATGTGTCATCTCCAATGGCTGCACAATTTCTTGTTGACAACAAGTAGGATTTTTCACGCATGGAATACTTGATAGTTTTCCATCCCTTTATAATAGCTGAACTTGCAGTCATCTGGCGTTTCTAATGTCTGACGAGGATGGCAACATTTGCTTGTTTAACTATATGCCGGAAACACAAGAATCGAACGGTGGAGAACGGCTTGTACTACGGGGAGTCTTAAATATTGGGACCAATGTTAATTCCTGGCTGAGAGTTAGAGGTAATGGTGTGGGTTTGCTTATAGACTCTTGCTTTTCTCAGTCTTTCATCATTTAGGCCATACATCTTTACTATCTCTAACTCCATTGGAAGCCAAGACTGCAATGCAGCAGCAGACGTGTGTCTGGGCGTCATTGGATGGTTCTATAGGGATTGTTCGACCAATATCCGAACGGCAATTCAGGTCATATAGGATTTTCATAAACCTCACTGGGAAATTGCATTTGCAGTACTATATGGTTTCCAAGAGATACTAGTATCTAAAAATCAAGGCTAATATGCAAGGTAATGGTGTTTTATTTCTGTTGTATTTGTTAGATATTTAGGCGGTTACATTTTTTGCACCAATGCATGAGCAATTCTGTTGGACAGCTTGCTGGATTAAATCCAAAGGTGAGTTGCTGTGACGTGTAGTTACTTAATACTTAGTTATCTTATGTTATACACTTTGTAAAACTGGATTTTTAGTCTTTTTTCTGACTTTTATGTTTTTTTTTTTTTGGAAATCAAAGCGAAGTGGATAAGTCGAAGTGAAAAATTGTGGATGAAGTGAAAAGATAAAGGATTAAGCATTTAACGTTGACCAGATAATCCATAAATCCGGCTTCATTGAGCGTCGTATAGTTGATTGATTATTTGAGCTATGTAATGAGTCGCACTGGCCTACTACCGATGCGTCATGTCAGTTCAGTATCTTTATCCTCCGACACAAGTATGCTACCAGTTTTTCGATACCGGAGGGACGAAAGATTTTTAAACCTGGGACATGCGATTAAACAAGCGACCCATTTAAATTTCGGCGTACCTCAATCCACTGCACTGTTTGTGCCTGGTTACCAATAACTTTGGAATTCTCGTTTTTGATAATTGTCTGGTTAGCTCAAATATTTATTCTGCTACGTAGCTATCTGGCCTCATGAAGTTTCCATTCTTTTTTCTTCTTTTCGCAACAGCTGTCAGTTTACTATTTAGGGTGCTCGTGGAGGTAAACCAATTCGCCCATTGATTAACTCAGCAAATAATAAGAACATGGTTGATGGTGAATTGGTGGAGCAGTTTATGCATCTATCAACAACTCGAAAACAGGACTTGGCTAGAAGTCTTGGCGCAAGCCGGTAAGTGGGTTAATCTGTGAGAGTATTACTTATTTGAGTGATGGTCCGTGTTCACTGGTTTATCTTACCCAGCATAATTTCCATTATTCGGTGATTTGCTGGTTGAGCCACTGTGGTTCACTGGAGTCCAGAGAACAACCTGGCCAAAGTCTGCCTAGGTCGTCGCCGCTACAGATAGTCGCCGCCCTTGTAGATCACAGAGAGATATGCCACCATAAGACTGGTTTGATACCAGGACGGTGGTGTGGTTCCTGGTATTCGTTTAATCTTAGCTAGGCGTCCTAATGGAAACGCCGGACTCCTCAGTTTGGGAGACCCTGCCTGGGGGATTGAATCCCTCCGCTATACATCGCAGTCCGACACCCAGCGCCACCTCTTAGCCATGATGAGGCTGTATGCCGCTGTGAGAGTGACAATATTACACTTATTTCTGCTGAAGGCGTTGTTTTATGCTAATACCTTAATATTCAGATATCACATAATGGACGATTTGGTACAAATACAACGACTTTCAACCTTCTACTAGATCTTGCGGAGTATTCCAAGTGCTAGTGGTATTGCTGCCCTCCTCTAGTAGTATTGCAATTGCTGAAAACGTCCTGTAAACTTGAGCGCTTTGAATTTGGTGCACGTATGACACTCTTGATCTTCATTTTCGCTATTTCCTACTCATTAACGTGATTCTCTGGATGTTGTTCTCTTTCTTTCGTTCCCGATGGTTTGTATCGTGTTGGATTTGTTGATGTAATGAACGGGAATAAGTTTACGATTTGTATGGATAGTTTATTCTAATTATTTCTATAATCTTTTAAAATGTGTCGTAGACACCGTCTCTTTTTTATGGCATGTTCCGTATATGCGGTTGTTTTTGTTCATTAGTTTTCGAGAAATTTGTGGGAATCGTGAATGAAAGATGACAGTGCTTGTCAGCAGTAGTACACAGTATAACACATTACTCAGTATTATTCAGTACATTGACAATATTCTGCAACATCTAATGCTTGAACATTTCAATTGTGGTTTTCCTGATGTAGATAAAATCGCCACTAGATTCAATGAATATTCCTTTGCTAGTCATGCTACTCGTGACGGGTTTACCGTCTCATGGTTGGAAGGTGTTCCTGGCTATCGGGCTGCGATGTACAGTGGTGGTATTTATAGCCCCAACAAGGTCTTTCAAGCTGAGAAGGCGTCCGACGTTTCCATCACGAAGGCCAGCTACGAGTAAGTTAATATTAGGATCCACCATTGTCGTAGCATCAACTACTCGTATGGTGGCAAATCTCCCTCTGATCCACAAGGGCGGAGGCTGCCCGAGGTGGTGACAAGCTGGGGCAGACTGGCTAGAGTGACCTCGGGACTCCAGGAAGCCACCGTGGCTAAAGCACTAAAGCCGAGAGAACGGAAATTATGCTGGGGTGTAGGCAACCAATAAAAACGCACCAGACGCATCTACCCAAGTAGGCGGTAGTACTAAAATTCGTTCTTTTCAACAATGTGTGGTATTTAAACACTCAGAAAAAATCTACAATGTTTTGACTTTTACTTCCGATTCCTTTTTCATGAAGGGAATAATGTGAACTACAACCACACGGATGGTGAAATATGAGCAAAGCTCAGAACTTCAGGTGCTCATCGAACCCATGACTACCCTCTCGGAGGGCTTACGTGTTATTAACTGCACGAACCTTAACTGTGTTCAATGCCGATTTGTTCTCTCCAGAACATTCCAACTGACGGGTGATTGTCGATAGCACTGTTAGTTTAGAAAAAATGACTGAGAAGAAGGCAAAGCAAGAGCCGTGATTAGTGCAGTGGTTCACTGGTGAGGTCCCGGAAAGGTCAGTCGCGGGTTCGAAGCGCAACCGAGGCCATGAATTTCGGCCATATTTCAGAAATTATAATGCTAAATGTTGAAATATTTACTATGCATTATAGGCTGTAGGATTCCATACCGCGTTTAACCCACTTGGGACTGCTCATCTTCCGCTTGCTGAGGAACCACAAGTATTTTTTAGGAACGTGCGACGTGAACTAAGCATCCCCATGGTCGAGAACACCTTCCAAGGGAGAAAGGTCCTTCTACTCTGATCATCACAATGGTTTCATATGCTATTCGTAAACTAAGCAGGAAATTGTCGAGGGAGTCATGCACTTGTGCAACAGGTATCATCGTTCTTATTACCAAAAGGTTTCTGTGGTGTTCTGCTCGTACGTTAAGCAACGAAATAGCCATCACACTGTTTGAAACCGATAAACACGTGGCAGTATCTTTCTCCATAATCTGTTTATAAGACTTAACCTGTTTGTAAGATTAATTTGTATAGGGTAACTCTTCTTGAGCAACACTTGGTACAACACATTTCGTATAGAACAGTCGACTTGAAAGGTTTTTCTTGAAAGACTTGAAGACTTGAAAGTCGACTGAAAGGAAGGTTTTTCAGAGGTCCGTGTGGGAAACAAAATCAGTTAGGAAGCGCAATGAAGCTAATGTGTATAATTTCCTTCGTATTTTTGTTGAGCAAACGCGAGGTGTTATTATTCCTTGTTCACGATTAAGCTGACGTTTCAGCGGATTTCGCCTTCCTCAGAGCCTGGAAAGGTCAAGTTGATAGCAAACTACTCGGCCAGACGCCTCCATAACCAAACAAAGAAACTCCAAACCAAGATTTCAATCACTTTGAACACAGCTTTGCACACTCACCGCTTTCTATGAAGTTTCCACTAAGTATGTCACGTAGAGACCAACCGCACAGAAATCACGTGGAAGTATAATGTGCCCCTCCCATCAGAATAGCAGTCTTATATACTGCCCTATATCACGCGTGATAATGAGGCATTCTTCCCTGCGGCTCATTTTCGGATTTCTGGAATTAATCCAGAATGCCTCGAGAGTTTTTCGCGCCTGTGTTCTTGATTCGCGTGCGAGGATCGTGACACGTACTTCAAAGTCGTCCCCGTTATGTCTCTGGGTCCTATGCGTGCCTAGCGGGGTATTTCTATTTTTTTGCCGGCTAGGTGTTCTTTCATGCGGACATAGAGGGGTCTACCCGTTTCGCCAATGTATTCGTCACCACACGTCTTACAGGAGATCGGATAAACTATACCCGAGCTCATGCAATCACCGTCTCTACCACTGGGGCAAATTATGCAATTTTGAGTTGCACATAGATGGTCATATAGGCGGTTACGAACTAGCTGGCGCTTAAGATTACTCGGTGGTATTTCAACTACGCTTACCGAATTCTCTAAGCCCGCCCTTCTCAGGCAGCGTTTTATAGCTGTACTTATATCATTTGAGATGAAGGGTAGGATAAACGGGACCCTTCCATCGCTAGAGTTGTCGTTTGGAGGCCTACGATTTNAATTATGCAATTTTGAGTTGCACATAGACGGTCATATAGGCGGTTACGAACTAGCTGGCGCTTAAGATTACTCGGTGGTATTTCAACTACGCTTACCGAATTCTCTAAGCCCGCCCTTCTCAGGCAGCGTTTTATAGCTGTACTTATATCATTTGAGATGAAGGGTAGGATAAACGGGACCCTTCCATCGCTAGAGTTGTCGTTTGGAGGCCTACGATTTCTTCTACATCTATCCTGAGCTACAATTTCGTAGCCATTAGAAATGGCTATTTGCCGTGCCAAGTTCCGGGACTCCTCTCTCTGCTCTCT